AGGTTCACTTACTGATGCCTGCATACATCCAGATCCTAGCGCCAGCAGTGGCCATTCAAGGAACTACTTTATTACTTAGTATATTTACTATGATAATAATAATATATTATTCTGCTTAGACACCGTCTCTCAAAATGTTGCAGCAACACATTTTCCATTGCTAATTATTCACATTTATTTATTTGTGGTGCAGCGAAAATGCAAAATATTGCATTGTTTGACGTCTTGTTGTGTGACGTGTTCTTTTGTTGTTGTGTGACGTCACCGCAGTTAAGGCAGTGATCCCAGTGAATATGAAAACAGTTTAGTATTGCGATCGACGTTATTTGTGAATAATATTTTCGATTGTGATATTATAACATATTTCTGATGGTGAAATAATTTTGATTGTGATATTGACACTTGCCAGTAGTATCAACATTTGAACATCGAAGTTCTAACATAATTAATTACGAGGTAAAGGGACTGAGCACAGCTGAGATCATTCATGGCTGAAGCTTCTTAACCGATGTCATAATTGTCATTGTCATTTTTTACGTCATTGATATCATTCTGGAACCAACGTAAGTAACTAAGGAACTTCCCAGTTCAAATATTTATTGATATATTTATATCAATTTCAAAACTTTACGTATTTCTAAAGGGAGTTGTGATGAGACCATGAGAGTCGAACCATTGAGTTTAGACCATTGCATTGATTGCAACTTGCAACAGGGGCCCAAGGGCCAAGGGCATGGGGCCTTGCGAATGCGAAGGGTTAAGACCGCGGACCGCCGCACGGCGGTGGACCGACATAAGTACACTGTACCTCTCTTCATAGACTTCCACTATGGTGTAGTGTGAGCGACTTCATCTGTGAAACAGTGAAAGAAGGTACGACGAATTCAGTACAGCCTTACATCATCATCAGTGAGTTACATGTAATGAATTTTTTCTGCTGATGTGCTGTTTAAGGGCTTTTAGCCAATGGCCATTACTGTTGAAATTGTAGCTCTACGGGCGCGGTTAAATTTATCCATGGCCACGGGTGAAATTATCCATGGCCATTGGCTACGGGTTTAATTATCCATGGCCATGGTGGCAAACAAATTTTTTGCCCGACTCATTTTTAGATGCGTTCATAACTTCATAATTCACGTTCACTTTTTGTTATTTTACTACACTGGGCCCGATATGGCATGTATTAAGTATTTTCAAATTGTTATGTTAGACTTTGAATGTTCTACTTTTGATTTGATTAATGTTTTGTATCACAGGTTCACAATGGTCACCGCAATGGCTTCCGATTGCTGTTGCCACAACGAGATCAAGAAGTAAACAATACCCCCGTTCCAAGGAATTCCAGCTGTTACATGTTAGATTGGGATTCAGTCACTATATTAAGGTAAATGAGTTTGATCAAATTTTGGTTATCTCAAATTTTAGCAATTATTTTCAGATGACAAGACAATTTTTACAGACAACCTTATAAATTTTGTCTAAACTATAAACTAGATACAGGCTTGTTAATCATAAAATAGCTTACTATATTACTTACGAAATTGACACTCATTTAGTTGAGGTTAAATTTGCTATCATGGTCATACATAACTTACGGAAACAAAAGACTAATGATATGCAAACAACGGCACAGCTCATTTAGAATGGTTGCTGTAATCTTTGGCGTCTTGAAATTTCATAACTGATATCAAAGATATTGTTAAATGAATGTGTATGAAATTGATCAGGCCTTTTTATATTTACATCAAGTAGAGACGTCTTGGACAATGTCCGAGACGTAAGTGAGAGCGAGCGCCTTAGTTTCTTTGAAAACCAATTTTGAGCATAAAATGAGCAGAGAAGAATCGTATTTTGACAAAAATTTAACAATAATTATTTGGGGTTGTGTTTTAAGACATGAGGTTCCTCTATAGATATTATTTGTAGAATATGTGATTTAGTATCAGTAATTTTATGATAAATATACATATATACACTCCCACGTGTCCATTTTAGATGTAACTCCATTACAATAAATGTATAAAGTTGGTCGTTTTATTTTTACCTCTATCATTAAGGTTATTCTAAGAAATTACAAACCCCTTCCTGCTTTCAAATAAAGTCTAAGAAACCTTTTGTTATGGCAACATGCATCCCTGCTTGGTGTTGCTGGGATCGGTAATCCCTTATATTAGTGAATCCCGTTGCAATTATCAAATACCATATACTAAGAATGCAGCTCCTGTACTGACATTGTCGTATCTGCTATCATTATTATTATTGAAAATGATTCGTATCATTTCAGAAAAGACAAATTAAAATTCCTATTAAACATTTGAATAGCATATCTTTGCATACTATAGTCAATTAGATTAACTTACCTCAGATGTTGTAGCAGGTGTTAGCAGAGCACATTACTATAACATACATCAGCAGAGCGCATTATCATAACATACATTAGTAGGTAGGGCACATTACCATAACATACGTTAGCATAGCGCATTAGCTCACATTAGCAGAGCAAGTTAGTGTACATTATCAGAGCACAATAGCACACATTAGCATTACACTGTTGCACACTTTAGCCTTGCATATTGCTACACGTTCTCATACTGTCAATGTGTCCAATAGGTATATATATTTAGTTTGTTGTTCGCCTGTTATGTCACTGATCTCGGTGACGTCACAGGCATTAACCAATCACCAAAATGCGATCAAACCAATCCGTCATGGGAATGACTGGATTGTTTACGTATCTCAATCTACATGACGTAATAAGAAAGCTGAACTGAAAGTCAGAAATCCTCGTGGGTCAACCTAATAAAGTTCAACAATATATATTTGCACATGCGAAAATGAATCTGACACAAAATTAAAATTAAAAGTAAATTCTTACAATGCTTGAAACAGCGTATTGTAAATAAACATCTTCATTATTAATTAGGTCATAATTGGTTTGGATATGAAATAGTTATACATGCCAAGTTTTATGAAAAAATCTGGCATGACAATAAAAAGTCTTCCAGTGCATACAGTAGGATATTGTCAATAAATAGATGCGTATTTACTTATGTCAAGATCGATTCAGATTTGAAGATCTTAGCGGGAAAAAGTGCAAAAAATTATCATTTAGCACATTTATTAAAATTAAAGTAGAAACAGAAATACCTGGTCATGCTCGCACCAGGGCATTGTGAGTGAATAATTTCGTTTTTAATTTGGTAATTATCACTTAGTTTCGATTTCATAAACTTATGCATGGAAAAAGTGCTATGAAACTTACTTCTGTAAATTTGTTTTAAAATACCGTACACGGTGTCGAATCGATATGTCAATTGCAGAAAAATCCCTCAACGAGTTTGCTCTAAATTAGGAATTGAATTGAAAACAAAATCCAGAGTAGAGCAGATGCAGATTAGAAAGGAATGAACGTCTCTGGCTCTCCGCTATGACAAACTAGAGCATCGATTTTGAAAGCATTGAACGAACTCAACTTCTAAATCTGATCTTTGAACGTGAAGTGGTATTATTGCAGATTAAGTACATCCAAAAAAAAAGGGTGTTTTTTTTTTTGAATTATATGTTTTTTGGGGTGTAGATTACGAATCTGAAATCAGTTTTTGGCGGTCGGCATCGGAAATTTTTAATGGAACCTGTTCCTAACTGGACCTAACCTGCGAGGTTTTCGTTGATCGGCTAGGTTTTTTACATGTTAGGAGTCCGTCCGGCGGCCGGAAAACCTAGCCAATAGGTTTTTTCTATGTTTGGAGTCCGTCCGGCGGCCGAAAAAACCTAGCCAATCAACGAAACCTCGCAGGTTAGGTCCAGTTAGGAACAGGTTCCATTAAAAATTTCCGATGCCGACCGCCAAAAATGGATTTCAGATTCGTAATCTACACCCCAAAAAACATATAATTTAGAAAAAAACACCCTTTTTTTAGGATGTACTTAATCTGCAATAATACCCGTGAAGTTTTGAACGAGTGTTGTTGTTGCCAGACGTATGTGAACTGGCGCCACGTGTGGTTGTCGATGCCTGCGCTGCCAGTACCAAACTTGCATTGTCGTCTCAGCAGAACAGAACCTACTAACATTGGAGACAGAGATATGTAAAAACTGATTTTTTAAAATGTAAATTTATTTGTAAACTGAGTTATATTTTGACTGTTTACCATCGGCGTTCATAAAATTTTGAAGCAATGCATATGCTTAATTTGCGTTCAGAAATTGTATGTTTACCCTAGAAAAAAAAAATGTTCTTGATTGCCACTATGTCCATGGCCATGGGTGAAATTGTCCCTCGTTGACAGGTGATTTTTGCTCTTGTACGGGTGCCTCCTGCCCATTATTCCAGTCTGGCTCCAAGGGAATAGGATTTTAAACTTAGTCTTAAAGTCTCAAATGTTTGAAGTTTTGAACACTAAAGAGTAAAGACTAAAGTCAGTAAAGTGGATTTGATTGTCAACTGCTGAGTTGAGTTAGCTACTTGTCATTTCACTCATTTGAGTGTATAGGTAGTCTCAATTCTCAAATGAGTCAAATCACTCTCAAACTCTCAACTATTTAGGTATTTGGCTCTTCACTTTCCAGCGGCCCAGCCGAGCCAAATGAATTGAGCACTGAGCAGGCTCAAATGAACTAATAAAGCATTGACTGGAGTCTAAAAATTAAATAGAACACAGCAATTGTTTATAGAAATGTAAGGATTTTCGATGCGATATCTGCAAGTTACAAACTTATAACAAAGTTAGTTAGTTAGTTATAACAGGCGGCAAGGCCTTTTACACTGAACTTCTCAAGTATCAAGTATAATAATAAATTTGCTCACAAAGCATAGCTACCTAGATCATGATAGGCTAGATGATAGAATGCGACTTCAACATGCGTTAATGGATTAAAAAAAATCCTACCATCAAGAAGTGATTCAGCAAAATTAATATCCTACAGTTTTACCAATGTACACAATAATAGTTGTTAAAAGTACTTCTAAATTCAGAGCGAAATTATTACCTTGCAAGGCTTGCAGTCCGAATCGGGACTGATGCTAGTGATGGACACTTGGACAGTGGAACGTTGCGGCGTCTACCCACACTACAACACGTGAATGTGTACGTTAAAGATTAGATGAGTTTGTGGCCGTTAGGAATAACTAGAAAGGACACAATCTGAATTAACATGCACTTTTTACCGTCTCGAAACTTCTCTCAAAATTATTTTATTTACATGCAATGAAAAAATTACCCACGTGTGCAGGTATTTCTTTAGCATAAGCGGTTGAGTATAGAAATAGTTCCCAGTGATTTCGTTATATAGAAGTGAAGAAACTGCATATGTGTCGAACTGATAAACAAGTCCTAACATCGATGAAGTTAGATTTGGTAGGTAACAAATAAAAAATAATGCTAGAAATCTACAAAGATTAAAAAGCGTTTCTAAAGAAGGAATACAAACTGCTGGAGATAAATTCACTGCTCTAACACCAGGTTGCAACCATGTTCAGAAGATCCCTGGAGTCGAGCACAATTCCAGACGACTGGAGGAGAAGAAGGTCACTCCATCTGCAATATGTCAGCTGCAGGGCCCGCAATGAAATACCTGTAAGTTAGTTATCTGCTGCAAATGGATAGAGGCCCGAGCGAGGGAACAAATAATTGCGCACTTATAGCCCTACAACCTCATCTGCAGAAAAATCATGGCTTCATAAAAGGAAATCCGGTTATAAAACAGCTGCTCGAGATGCTGACTGTGGTGAAGACTACGGGCGCTCCACCGATGCCCCATGCCCACGTTAGGAAAAGGAGAGTGCTGAGTTGGGCCCGATGTTTCTTAGCTAACAGAACCCGGTAGGTTCTGGACGGAGCGACTCGACCTAACCTATTATGAGCAACAGTACGAGCTAATAACATTTTGGCCATCTAGTCTGCTGCTCATACCATGTATGCAAACAAAGAAAAGTAGGAATCGTCTAGAAACAACCTAACTGCTACTTCCAACATGCCAGCTGCAGGTCAGATACTTAGGCCTACACAAAACTTCCAAAGATTTAATGGTATCTATGTTACTTTACTGGTATACTCATTGGACTTAAAAAGACGAGTCTAAAAAGGTTTCAGCTCTACCACAACTTTTGGGCGAGTATAAATACTTTAAGTATCAAGTATAACTTAAAACGTTACAGCGAAAACTGTTCTTTGAACGAAAACTCCGCCAAAATGCTCATTGGATCGTGAAAAACTCGAAGACTCCCGATACGTGTCGAAAGTTCCTCATCCTGAGGAGGAGAAGCAACCAGGAACACTTCACTAGTTTGCTTAATAACTAAGACATCGATGATTGGTAGGAAAATGACACTCAGAATAGGGCAGAATGTCTGCATGACCAAAGGTAGTTACAATAATCGTTAACTGCGCTCATAAGATGGCATTAACTTGAATGGTGGGCCGAGGCTTCATGGCTTCAGCATGGCTTCCATAAGGGCAATTGCACACTTAAAGACTAAATGCTCAAAGAGATGCATTTGAAATGCATTAGAGGAATAATTATTGACTAACTAATACACTAAATAGACAAAAGAAGCCTCATTCATACCCAAAAGAAGAGAGAATTAATGAAGGAACTTGAAAATAATTATTTTACAGAGAACATGGTTGGTTCAAAGCTTCACGATTGCAAGGAACCACAAGTTCTGCATCACAGTGCAAAATGCTACTGTACGCGTTGCTTGCAGGCTTCACGCCCTAAAGTTCACTACTATATAAATGGCGTCGATGTTGGTCAGCATTAACATTTTATAACAAAAAGAGCACAGAAAAAAAGTGTCTTTTCAGGAGATCGATGCCACAAATGAGCGAATACACGCATTATTTGTAGACTAAAATTAACAGAACACATCGATAACAATACATAGATGGCACCAAGTCGAACCTCCGCGATACAGAATAGCTAGTCAAACGTTAGCGACTTGCACAAGAACTAAACGTGCAATACGAATAAGCAAATGGAGTGATCAAGAAGGCTTCGCAATTCTCACTCCTTCATGCCATTATTAAGAATAGCTTTCTACTTGCACATGAACTAAACGTGTAATACGAATAAAAAAATGGAGATATTAAGAAGGCTTCGCAATTCTCACTCCTTCATGCCATTAAGAATAGCTTTCTACGTCGCGATATAAAATCTGCCTTACGCCTATTAAAAGGACACGCCAGTCAAAGAATCACAGTCATCGCCTGCTAGTGACGAACAACAAGTTTCACTGAAAATATTTCCCATCCAAAGCAGCTAGCCACAAACTGGTATTATTTATGCTATAATAAAACAAATCCTGAATAGTTTAGCACAAGACATTTCGACGCGTCACGCTGAGCGGACGTTAAATGTTGATTTACATTAGCCTCCCCTGAACAACTCATCGCTGCTTTTGCAGCATCAAATTCTGCTTCTTGAACATCAACGCGGTTTCGAGAGCAAGAAATAGTTGCCGTTACATTAAAATTAGATTAAGTCTAGTAAGATGAAGTTTATAAGATCGTCTGTAAGTACGCATTCCAAGAAATTTTCTTCAAATTAAATAAGATTTCTCCCCCTGCCAGTTTAAATGAAATCAATCATTAGCGAATTTCAGTAAAACAAATTGACACAAGACTAGTTTCATAAGTCTACAAACTTGAAGGCACAAGTGGACACAAACCTCGTAAAAAGTTCTTACTTTTCAAGCACGATTTTACATCTTCACACAACTATTGCCCAGTGCATCTCTTACCAAACACACCATAAAAAGATCCCTTCTTTAATTTAATGAAAAAATTGTCAAGGTGTTATCTAGCAATCAGTTAGAGATTTCACTTTAAATCTATTTAATCGATTTAACATTTCTACACAAAATACTTGTGACACACTTTAATTCAGCAGAATTTATCCTTAACACGCATATTCCACAGTTCTACGCTATGAACAAAACAATTAAGCTTTTATTATCCAAGCCATTATGCTTAACAAAATCAGTCTGTACGGGGTACGTGAACACAAAAAAATATAACTCAGTACTCAATGCAGTGAGTGACAGAGAGCGCATTTTCTCGTCGACGAAAACGTGAGGTCACGGACGGACGGACAGACGGACAGACAGACGGACATGGCGAGCACAATAGTGCATTTTTTCCATAAATGAGAAAATGCGATAAAAATTGACTTCAGTAATTTAAGTGAAATGTTTTAATTTTAATTTTCGGTAATTTAATTGCAATGTTGTTGTTTACGATTAATTGTTTCGTAACAATTCAATTCATCTAAAAATTAGCCTATTAAACATTTTCGGCCAATAATAATCCTGTGCAAAATTAAAGCGGCAGAAAGCTCGTACATGTACAGCGAAATTAATGAACATGCGATGCTGAATTCATAATACATGAGAAATCTCGTGGAAAATCAATAGATACAAGTTACTATCGTCAGCAAACGAAATCACAAGCCAGAAAATGAGGTATAAACCATGAATTATACCATAATCTTCAACTAATTATCATTATTAAATACAATTTGTAAAGAATTCTCGACAAATTTACCTATACATAGTCACTCCCTCTAAACATATAAAAAACATAAAGAAAACTTAATTGATTCACGATAACTGCACAACAATCGCCAAATAGATTCAAAATAAAAACATTCATCGTCAGATAATCAGCATCATCAGATAAATTATGCATAAAAATGAAACATAAGAACATTATTAACAGTCTATTATTGCACTCTTCATTTGAAGTTTAGAACATCCTTCGAATGCACCGCAACAGATCTCTATAATTACCTCAAAATAACGCGCTCTATGAGACGCCGGAAAACAAAGAAGAAAACGACTTTCTATCTACAAAATAACAACAAAACCAGAGCTTACTATGCACAAGAATAGTCAAGTTGTTTTCCCAGTCTTTATTAATGTGGTAATTATGGCACGGAACTTGTCTCGCTGAGGCCCCTAGCGCAGCTTTACTAAGACATTCACAACTCAATTTAAAGCAACATCCACCGTTGCTGATTGACAGAAATAACCTGGTTTACCGCATAATAGAAAAGAACACAACAAATAAATACTACAGAGATAAAAGTGGAATAGTATTTCGTGCAACGTCTATGACAGCTAAGAGTAACGGTAATGGTTTATCCCGCACTGTCAAGAACTCGACGCCATATTTCTTCAATAGTGCCGCTTCACCGTTACTTCATCAGAGATATAAAGCAATGCTTAAAAAGGTTTTTCCCCAAAGACATGTTAGAAACGTGGCGTAAATCTACACTAAATATACGTGCGACCGCATCAGTAAATCTCGCCGTAATATTGCATGGAAGAGACAAAGTTAGAAATGAAATAAAGTAACAAAAAAAGGCAAAATTGTAGGTAAATGCAGGAAGTTTTATGTTTATTCAACTAGAAATTGAGAAGCAAGCAGAGCGAAAACTACGATATAGGAACAGGAGGATGAAGGCAGCAACAGAAGCCCGGAAGACGACATGAAGAGTTAAGAAATCACTCCGATATTTAAAGGAGCGAGCAAGGTTTGAAAATCATTCGTTGTTTTTTCTCGCTGGTCGAGAATGAAAAGCGAGGAGCAAAAATTGTTGAAAATCTATCACAATCTATCGACGCAAACGAGGGACAACTTTTTATATGCCGAGTAAACTATGCTTAAATTGGCGAACAAAGAACGATGCAAGAATAGAAAAAAAATCTACTCGTTTATGTTTGAGGCAGAAGAAGGGCAAAACTTTGGCGGACGATGCTTTAAAAATGAACTGAATTTTTTATTATGCGTTTGTAAAGCAGACGAATAACAGTGTAAACACTGACGAAGATATTAATCTCGATGGAAACAGTGACGATGTGACTAATCTCATTAGAAACACCAAAAAAACAATAAATCTCAGAGGGTACACAGAGGCAAACGGCGATAAGAAATATAAATCAGTTGTCCCTGATAACAAATATAAATCAGTTATCCCTGAGAGGCTGGCAGAGATGACAGGCCCACTCGCCCTCAGGAGGCTCAGCGAGAGGCGGCCGAACGCAGTACAGGTGATAGCCGCGGTCACAGTCGTCACAGAACAGCAGCTGGTCCTGTATAGTATAACACAAGTATACAGCTGGTCCTGTTTCCTGTATAGTATAACACATGTATACAGCTGGTCCTGTATAGTATGACACATGTATACAGCTGGTCCTGTGCTATAGAACACATATGTAGTATATACCGTTGTAATACACTTAAATTTACACACTATACTGCACAGCAATTATCAGCAACTCCTATTATTAAGTAAACGAAGCTTGAAATTAAAACATGAAGAAGTAAAACTAATGGAGTTTTAATATCTTTACATACATTAGTTTTTGCTGCCATTTCAAAACATTGTAAACGATGACATGAGGAACTAATATCTCTAAACTAATTGGGACACCAGCTAGGCACTAATTTTTTGATCACGTAAAATCTTTTGCCTTTTTCTAAGATAACAAAAAGTGTAACCTTAATGACGCACACATACATATATTACAGGACAACTTCAAACATGTGAAGGATTACAATCTTTTCCTACACAGAAACAGACAAGGAGGCCTTCTTCTTCATGTATAAAATTTCAATCGACAATTAAGCGGGTGTGTGTCGGTGGCGCTCACACACCATTTACCCTTGGAGAGTTGCTCTCTACAAACCCCAAGTCTATGTTGCCTTATCTTATTATTATTAATGTTCTACGAAGCGTCCGTCGTGGCGTCTGAACACTTTATATATAAGTGTGATAGTGAACAAAAAATAAAAAATATAACTCAGTACTCACTGCAGTGAGTGAGAGAGCGCATTTTCTCATCGACGAAAATGTGAAGTCACGGACGGACAGACAGACGGATATTGCGAGCACACTAGCGCCTTTTTTCCATAAATGAGAAAATGCGCTAAAAATATATTATAATATCAAGCTTTTTTTGTGAAATTTAAGGGGAAACTCACGTCGTTCTCGGCAGTACCACAAAGAGTACAGCACTTGCACTCAATGCACTGCCAGCGATAGTTCTTAACGGCCTCCATCATCTTGGCGGTGAACTGCAGGCACGTGGGATGCCCTGAGCGCCCACAATCCGAGCACGACACCATCAGCTCAGCGACGCCCGTCTTCTTGTTGTGCTGGGAGTCCCCGAGGCAAAAGTCGCAGTATGGGTTGGGCGTTGCAACGAAATCCTTCATTGCGTGCTGAACAGTTGTAAATAAAATCAGATTACCTCAGAGTGAGATTTTATTTGCTGAATACGAAGCTGAAGTTAAAAATAAACACCGAGAATGTAAACAAAAAAAATTTTCAATTTCAATTGTGATACCACGAATAAGAATATTATATTCTTTGACCCGAATTGGAAAATTTTCACGTACACTCCCAACAACAAAATTTTGGAAATGGAATAAATTAACTAATAATATTTTATAGTAGTGTTAGCGTTGATTAGACCATGTGGACCTGTCATTGATTCTTAACCGCCTGGCCACCTCGTCGATTTTGACTAGAACTGTCACAGGAAGGTGGGATCGAACCCTTAATTCACTGCTCTAATCCCGGTACTCTGAACTGTAACCACTGGGACAACCTAGCCACAATAATACAAAACAATAATAATACAATACAATACACAAAAAAATTCCACAATGATAGAATAAATATTCATCACTGGAACGACACCGACCGACTGCTGCGTGGCAAGCGAAGGATCCGAGGACGCTGCCTTGGCAGGAGGCAGGACAGCGTCCGGCGCTGCGCTAACGAGATCCTTACGAGCTGCTTTGTTGGCACCCGCACCTGACAGTTCAAATCATAAACATTAACATGTTGACTCCGAAGTGGTACATATGCGTACCACGAAATGTATTTCTCCAGGAGGTAGCGGTACATATTTCAGGTAGCCTAAAATCGGCCAAATCCGAGAACAAAAAAGGCCAAAAAATGCCTATAACTCAATATATACTAGTTTTTTTGTAGGTTCCGCCCTAAAATTACATTTATTTTTTTTTGCAGTATTTAAAATTTAATTAGGAAGTACGCCTATCATAAATTTTAGCCGGCCAACGCAATTGAGAAAAACTAAATCATGGAATTTGTCCGGAAAAAATGACTATCTGGCAACCCTGCTTAAAAACAGTACAAAAAAAATGAAATAATAGTACAAGATGAAGCAATCGTAGTCAACGTGTTAAATAATGAGGCTATTTTATATAATTTTTTGCATCAACCCTTATCAGGCAGCTTAATTTTACACCGTTATATCCGTACAGAGTGTAGGGAATTGCACTTAAGCAACCATGGGTTAAATAAGTTGCAATTCTGATAAAAGCAGTCTCGTAAAAAAAACTACAGAGAATTGCGAGTTACTTTTGCCTTGCACGGATACTAATGTTGCAACACTTATAGCATTATGAAGAAGACAACGCATGTCAGTATTGACTTTAGTAATTGAGCGTAAGTAATCCTAGAACATTAACAGTCCCGTTATCAAGAACTGTTAGGTATTGTTAACTTTTGTCACCTGGGATTTTAGGAATCTGACAAGCCATTCGTACATGGGTATGTAACAAAAATAATTAAAATATACCCCAGGACTCGCAAGTGTTTAAACAGAGAAATTATTACATTATTACGAAAATGATTATCATTATTACGCAGCTCGTTCACAATGTGTGTGGTGAATTTGGTGCAAACTAAACCGAACCTAGTCTTAACACCCGAAACGCCAACGCCATTAAATACGTACTTCAACAATCTCAATCACCAAAAAATATGAATAACAACCAAGTTATTTCTCACCACTCGAGAACTCCCTGAAAGGTGTCTCAGGGTCCAGAGGGTCGAGGGATCTAGAGGAGTCAGCGTCCAGGGAGGGGGTGAGGGAGTCGCCCGCGTCCCGCATCTTTAGGAGGTCCACGTTGGAGACCGGGGTGATCGCCATGACACCGCCTCCGTTCATCTCCGCACCTATAAATACAATATTAATAACTAAATGCTTCAAGTTATGGCAGATTTATGGCTACTCTGACCAATAAGATCATGGGTTTCCATGGGTTAGGACAGGTTACGTGATGATCTTTTGAAGAGTTCGGGACTTTCTAGTCCCCGGTCACGCTGATGCGCCGCCTTCGTCGTCCTCCGTCTCCGAGTCGTCGCTAGGCAGGTCACCCCACCCTCGGGTCACGGATGTAACGTTGGACGTGTTCCGCCTATTTGCCCTCCTTTGGGCCAGCTGATGTTGGTCGATTTGGCACTTTTGACTTTGCCATGCTCACAACATTCCCCCGTGCTGCATGCCCCCAACACTCCCACGTGCCCCCAAAACTCCCTTGAGAGTTGAGACCCCACCATTCCCCCTTGCCCCAAACAGTCCCTTATGCCCCCACCACTCACCCGTGACGGGAGGCAGATGAGAGGCAGCAGGCTCAGTTTTGTGAGTGTGGGAGAGATGGTAGGAGAGTCCCTGGCGCGTCTTGTAGCGCGCCCCGCAGCCTGCACGAGATCATCATGTAGGAATAGCAATATTCCAACATCACTCATACAATTCTTAAATAATTATTGATGTATGAATTGGATGACTGATTGATATATTCAAATTGATGTATGAATAGCAATATTCTGACATCTTTATACATTTTCTCAAAAAATTTTTGATGTATGAATTGATGACTGATTGATATATTCAAATTGATGTATGAATAGGAATATTCCAACATCACTTATACATTTTACAAATAATTAGATTACAGCCCTTAATCAAGACTAGTTTGAATAAAGAGTATCCCATTTTTCTCTTATACCAGTGATTAGAGATAGAAGTTTTGAATTAAAATGATGCTGTTTGTCCCACGTGGCACTCGTAAGTCCCACGTGGCACTCGTAAGTCCCACGTGGCACTCGTAAGTCCCATGTGGCACTCGTAAGTCTCATGTGGCACTCGTAAGTCCCAAGTGGCACTCGTAAGTCCCACGTGGCACTCGTAAGTCCCATGCCGCCGTGGCCGCGCCCGCTGCAGCGGCGGCGCCGTCCCGCCGCTTGCGGCTCCCACCGCAGCCTCGTACGCCCGCCTGCTGGGGGCGGAACAGTTATGATGAGGCATGAGGGAGAGGCATGAGATAGCTATGCGAGATTCATGCGCGTGGTATAAAAGGCGAAGAAAAGAAATGAAAATGCCCAACTTTAAATTTGTATTAAAAGTCGTTGAACTTTAAACAGCAATTAATGAGATATTCTAGCACTACAACAGTGCAAACACATTCATGATCATATCCATGACAATATTATAATGCAGAGTAAATGTATGGTTCATCAAATATTAACTCATCAATAATCATTACCTTGCTTTTCTTAGGAAGTTTGGTTGACTTTTTCTTCTTAGTTGAACGGATGCCATAAGTATCATCATCAAAGTCGTCCTCGTCATTGTCGATATCATCGTCATCATCTTCTAGGAAACTGACTGCTTCATCGTAGTAGTAAACTGCCTCCTGATCGGCACAGTAAAATGATTTTCACAGTAATTTACGGAGAAATAATTATTATGTATTTGAGATACAAGGTAATTTAGGGAGAAATACTTTTATGTATTTGAGATACAAGGTAATTTAGGGAGAAATACTTTTATGTATTTGAGATACAAGGTGATTTAGGGAGAAATACTTTTATGTGTTTGAGGTACAAGGTGATTTAGGGAGAAACAGAGGTACAACATTTGTAGGCTGCATGTAAAAGTTAAATTAATGCATAGAAACTGTGAATAAAATACAATAAGTTAAGACTCAAAATCATATGCCTCATATAATAATAATAAAATATTTATTATAGATATTCAAAAAAGTATGCATTGGTGGAACAATGAAAAAAAATTTAAAATACACTAGACTGCAGCAATAATCCAAACTCTTCTCTCATGATAATATTGAAATATAATATTTAATACTGTAATAGTTTCCTGTGAAAAAGCAAGTGAGAACATTTAAACAATAACCTTTTTGATCAGCACTGTTTTAATATCGAAATATAAAGAAATATTTAATTATGTTGCACCATCCAAAAACGAAACTTATATCAACATAATTTTAATATACATATGATATTTGTAATAATATTTAACAGAAATTATTATAATATTCATTAGTTGAAGCATACAGCTGCTTCAATTGTTTATTAATAACAAATGCAGAAGCAGGAAACAACTTTCTCAAGGTCTTTGGCTGTACCATATGATAAGTGTAATATATAATCATTATTATGATAATAAGTAATAATAATATAACTCAGTACTCACTGCAGTGAGTGACAGAGAGCGCATTTTCTCGTCGACAAAAACTTGAGGTCACGGACGGACAGACAGACAGACGGACAGACATGGCGAGCACAATAGTGCATTTTTTTCCATAAATGAGAAAATGCGCTAAAAATTATATAATATATAACCTTCTCGAGAAGATCCTCGGCTATTGGTTGAGGCTTGCCTGCAGCGCTGGGAGCCTCAGCGGTCATGATGGCGTGCTCGGTGGCCTCAGCCTCCTGCTGTGCCTGTGAGCAACATTCATGGCTCAATTTATTTCTATAATGATATAATTTAATTAATTAGAAGTAAACTTACTAATTAATTAGTAAGTTAGCTAGGAATTTATTTCTCAATTTACTTGATACAGAATGCCTGAAGTAGCAGATTTTAAATATAGTTAAGAAACAAAGGATAGCATCTTCTTTTAAATCCAAGTAAATAAAGCAAAAGAAATTTTGTTGAGAAAACCTTATATTGCCATAGATTTCCAACCAATATTAGCTTATTACATTTTCTCCAATATTTATACATTACTTGAGGTAACCTAAATTTGAATATTTGCAAGAAAAAATCATAGCATATTTAATAAGAGCAAGTATCAATATGCTGTTATTGGCCAAAACTCTTGCACAATGAAAGATAAATTAAATCTTGTAACAATACTCACTTTCTTCAGAAGATATTGCTGCATGAAAAAACACAAAATCTTAGAACATATTTTTACAATAAACAGAAAAACCCTATGGAAAAATGCAGGCTCTCAGGAACAGTTTTCAGAATTCAAAATATTAATGGCCACTGATATCTTACAGAAAACTTGATTTCTAGACATAAAGTCAAGCAAGAAAGTCTACACTTTTCCATCGTAAATGAGAAAATTTTAAAAGGTATTTGTACCAAACTTCAAGGCTAAAAGTAACATAGGCGTAGGGAAGGCTCCAATACATATATTTTCATTTTATATTATTTCACAGTTTACAGATAATCTTAAAATCTGCACTGTGAGTCTCAGCATATGTTCCATCATCCACTGATACATTATTCTCACTCAGCATACTTAGCATCATCATGTGTATGTACCCATGAGGTGCATCTGTATACAATAAGTGCCACAAAAAGCACTGGCCATATGTGCCTCATACTGAGCATACGAACAACTCTTGTACGGCCTGAACACCACCAGCACGCCCTCAGCACCACCAGCACGCCCTCAGCACCACCAGCACGCCCCCAGCACCACCAGCACGCCCCCAGCACCACCAGCACGCCCCCAGCACCACCAGCACGCCTCCAGCACCACCAGCAGGACGCACCTGGTGCTGGCGGGCAAGGTAGCTGCGGTGTCGTCTCCGCCAGGGAGAGGCAGGGTAGCGGTACAGCTGGCCGGGTATGTAGGGTGAGCAGGACAAGCGGTGACGCGCTAGTATGGGACGTACAGGACTCTGTGCCAGTCCTGCGCATCAATAGGAATTATTTTGATTATTAAAAAAATACAGTTTTGATTACAAACAACTTTATATATATTAGTTTAACACTACCAATAATAGAAAAAGACTGGGAATGTTCATACATTAGAGGATGTATAAATAAAAGCAGACAAATTTAATGAAGAATAAAAGGGTTCCTTCAATACTGAAAAGTTCTTCCCAAAGATATACCTTCAAAAATACGGTTGAATGCTAAATAAATAATAATTATTTGAGGGCTTCAAACAATAGTAACGATTTTGAAGTAAATGAAGGTGCTTGACATTTATTCACAAAGCCCATATGAACTACATTTATATATTTGGCAAAAATCATGATACATTCCCTAGAACATCATTCAAATTCAACAGGTTCACCATTTTGAGTCTCATACCAAAAATTGTATAAACTTGTCATCTATTTGTTCCTTTTTAGCAGTCAACTGTTAACCATTCATTAAAAAAATTGAGTTGGTGTTCTAAATTTTCTAATTATTGAAGCTAAAAGATGATATACATAGTTTGTCGCAAAGGATCCGTCTATTTTATAAAATTCTTGAGTTGGTACTGGCTAACTGGAGTGAAATGGGCGTAGGGATGAATGGAAAAAACAAATGATTACAATGATGACAGAAGAAAAAATGAAGGCTAGGTTGGCATTGCAATTCAATACATAGAAATTTACCCGTTTGGGAATCCAAGAAAGGCATTCTTGCCTTCCGTTCCCGCATGATCCGGACATTATAACTGGCACTGTTGACCATCAGCGACTGATACTGAGCATCTTGAAGGAAGCTGCAATATTTACAACCAAACATTAATGTCCATACATCTGCAATGTCGAAATTAATTGTTATAATCATTGCTGTTGAACATCAGCTACTGTTACTCTGCAGCTTGAAAAAAATATACATACAAACATTAATGTCCATTTCATTCATCAGTGCAGTTAAAATTATTGATATAGTATAATAAAAATTGCAAAAAGTCAAACATATCACAACTAAGTGTTTGTTAAACACTATAAAATCAATAAAAACTGCTCAGTATAGGCAACTTACTCTCCAATTTTGTCCAGGTTAGACTGCATAGCAGTGCCAGCCATTGATGAATAAACTTAATTTTACTGAGGGATTCATGCAGTAAAGTACAGAAGACTTCCAAAAACTGGATGACCTGATAAGAAAAACATTGGCTAGGCCATTAGAGTGCTGTCTGTAATTGAATAAATCTCTGACAATAATTGGGGATTTTATAGATTAATTGTCAAAAATAATCACTTTTATTGGGTGCAATAAATTGTTGCAGTCATGTATATAATTTTAACTGTGTCAACTAATGAGGAATGTAAGATCTTCAAGTAACATTTGGGAATTCTCTTGACATTGTCTGTGCATATTCCATGTGTTAAGACACTGCATCAGTCACTGTCTGTCTGCGAGTCTTCACTAGGTTCAGGAACTCCTACAGGTGTATTTAATTAGGTTTAGTCACTGTAATGCCCCTTGCAAATAAGATATTAATGTTTAAATTTTAATGCTATCCAAGCTATCTATTTGCAAAGCCTGTGAGTTAAGATAAATTATTTAAAATTTATGTTACAGCTGCTATTAAGAAGGTAAATTTTACTTTCTCAAAGTGTGCAACATCCTGACTATTTTCACAATTAATGCATGATTTATAATTTACTCTCTACTGATCAGTGAACCATGCATTTTTGATTCAAAATTTTCATGTTAGATATAACTAAAGAACCAACCTAAAAAATAAGTACTGAAAATTCGGCAGCTTAAGGCACAAAGCTGGTTAGAGTGGATGTCCTCTGTAGCATGATAGGAGGTACATTTGCAAAGAACAGATCTTTCACAAAAGGACACTGGAGCAACTGAATGAGGCAGAGGTAGTGCTTGCACATTAGTTCTATGCAGTGGACAGACAGAGGGGGTATGTTAGCCTCCACCTCCATAGTAGAGACCGGGGTTGTTTTATGGCATTCAAGAGCTATGCATAAACAGTTGTTTTGGATCACATTTGGTTTTGTAAGATTTGTTGGTGTTGCAGTTGCATAGAAGGCTGCTCCATAGTCCAATCAACATATCAGAATTTTGTACAGCTTTATCATCAAGATGCAGTCTGCACCCATTGTCTGCCCAAGAGAGACTGCAGTAGGTTTACAATTGGAATGCAATTTCATTTCAGAGCATTGATGAGTGGTTCCCATCATAGCTGAGTGGCATCAAGAACCAAACCTAAATATCTGTACTGAGTAACAAAGGCCAGGAAACAGCCATCTAAGGAGAATGGGACTGTAGTGGCTTGCATGTTGGTAAATAACATGCATTTTGTTTTTACTAAATTCAATGTCAGTTCCCATTGTTCAAGCAGAACATGTCCAGTTATGACTGCATTCTCATTGTAGCCGGGTGGTTATTTCAGTATTTTTCATCGCAAGCCAAATCTGTTATTCATTTGTTCACTCAATGTATATGTTCTAATTCAATACCAAATATTTCTCTTTATTTTTTCAGGCACAGGGGAAAATTCCAATAATTACATTATTCATGCATGTGCTTGATCAGTGACATTGTAAAGTTCTAATAGAAGCAGGCAGATTGATGTCCAATGCTCTGACAACTGCAATTGCCTTGGTGAGTGCTTGTTAGAATTCATATTGTATAAAGCTTTTAAAACCAGGTATGTTAGTGTCCATTCAGCTTAATAATTGATTCACTTCATTCATGCTTATGTTTATACTTTGCACATACATTTATCCACTTTCTTGCAATGCTTGCTTTTAATCTCAAGAACATAAATTGCACAATAGCGAGTTGTTTATATGATTTCACTTCAATGACTTTACTGTTTAAATCCTTTAATTTCAATGCTTGCTATTTTTATTAGTGAATACCAAACTGTTGTCCATTTATGCATTTCACCCAATAAGTTGCAGTTATTACCACAGTTGCAATAGTGTCCATTTACCTTGGTTTGCTTTAATCTCTTGAATTACTCTCGCGTGTTGATCTTATCAATTATATTCTGAGCTGAAACTACCGCTTGCTGCTTGATTGTTATGTCAATGCTAAGGGTTTTTGGTTTTGATTAACTGCTGTGAGTGAGGTTCTTTTATTTGATTTTACTTTTATTGATTATATGTTTTATCTCTTGCAGCTGAAATACCTCACTCATGCTCCCAATGTCTGGTTACATTTCATTCCATTCGCAACTGCATCTGTAATCACTGCCACGCTTTAACAATACGTCCATATCCAGAAGAAAACTTTCATTCACCTAAATTGTTGCCAGAGACAAAAGAACCCGACATAAGCATTCCATAGTGCCGGCAACATCATGGTAGCTGTAGCAATGTCATGGCTGCTGGCCAAAAAAACAATTTAATGTCATCAGTGTAGTATTCCTCACACTAATGGAAGGTCTCTCATCATTACGTTAAACAAAAGTGGTGAGAGAATAGTTCCTTAAGGGGAGCCCGACCTGATATGTTTTGTAGAGGTCTTGCCTCTAACTGAACCTGAAATGAGTGGCACATGAGGTAGACACATAGCCATCTCAACAGTGTACTTTGTACCCCATTCTGGCTGAGCTTGGACAGCAGGCAGGCCTGTTTGCCAAACTCTGTCAAATGCATTAGAAAGATCACAGAATACTACCTGAATAGTTGACCTGGTAGCTAGAGCAGTTAGGATTTCAGCTTTTAGCATTGCCACTTGTTCAACAGAAGCAAGCCAGCGGCAAAACCCTTCCTGAGATGCCTTAAAAGACTGCCTCTGCTCCCGAAAGAAGCTCTGTCTGTTTATTAGGGACTCCAGCAATTTGTCTATGCATGACAAGAGTTAGATTGCTCTGTACTCTGTAGGATGAAATAGATATTAAGCTTTTGGCAGGTTTAGGCATGAGGACCATTAAGGCCAGCTTCCAAGATTTTAGGATTAAGGCAGACAGAAGGATTTGATTAAAGATATTGAGCAGCCTCTTTTTGTTATCATTAGGTAAGTGAGAGAGTGATGGGAATTATGAATGAGGTCTATTCCTGGAATGTGAGTTACAGAGATACAAGAGAGAATGCTAGCTCATAGTCTCATACTCACAGGGGAAAAGCATCCATTCAATGGTAATTTCAAGTAATCACTCAGTCTCAATGCAATGGCCAAAGGATGGGGAGGGTGACGTTTGGTGGATAGGAAGATGGGGCTGAATGCAGGACTGTTTTTTCATAGTGGAGGGACGAGGGAGAGAGCTTGAGCTTTACCAAGAACTAAGTGAGACTGAGTCAGCCTGACTAACTCAGTCACAACTCACAAGCACAATCAAGTCATGCAGAATGAAAGGTTGGGACCTACGGATAAACTAGTAAGGAAAATATCTACTCTCTGAACCGCAACTGGATTCTTTGAGCCGCAGTTTTATGGATTTGCAAGCCGTGATTCCATTTCTTTGAGATGTGAATTCCATATCTTGGCCATCATTGGCCATGAAGAGTCATTTACAAGCCACAAACTCATTTACAAATTCTGTGCAAAAGTTATGCCAAATATCTAATTTTATACTAGAAACAGCAACAATAACATTTGTCTTTACTTTGAACAGTAGCAACTAAACACGTGATAATGCAGTCTGACAGACTCTGACTGCTCTGACATTGTGACATAGCTGCAACTTTGCAATTTCAACAAAATGTTTTAGATTTACTTGTTATAATGACATTATTGTTATGCAGGATATTTTGGGAGAGCATTAAAGTTAAAATAGCTACTACAGAGTACAGAAGTTGAAAATTTTATGAAATGACATGTTTGTACAATGTAAAGTGTAAACTAAAATTTTTTAATCAAACAAAAATACATGATATTATAGCTATAAAATTTTATACCTACTGAAATTATATGATATCAGAGCCACAATATTAAAAAAGTAGGACTTTATCCAACTAGGTAGGTGGACAAATGATATGATCATATGCAAAGGAGCTTGACTTTCTTTTAAAATTAAGATATGGTAGAGTGTTAGATGTGATTTTGCTGCAAGAACTCCTCAATGAGCTAAGTTTGACTTTTTTAACCTCCCACTCGGCACTCATGCACTCAATGGTTTTAACCCTGGCTTCACATCTCAGGAATCAGTTGAATGCAACTTGAACTAGCCACTAGGTTTTTTGGAGAAGGCTTTGAAATCAAAACTGTCTTGGCAGCTCTCTTAGCTTCAACAGCCTGGGCAGAGCTTAATGTTTACCAAGACTTTATATACTTGAGAGTAATAATAGCCTTAGTTTGTGAAAATAACTTGGCACTGGCAGAGATGTTTTCATTGATTTGATCTGTGAAGTTAGCACAGCACAGCTGACCTCACTGTCAGCCTGTCAAGAGATTATACTGTGCCTCTCTGCTGCAGGGAAGAGGACCATGCACGACACGACTCAATTTGAATCTTCTGGAGGATTGAGCTCTGTACTGAACAAACTCTTACGATGGTGGTGGCAGACTTTCTTCTTCTTCTTCGGATCCATTTTTATGAGGACTCGGTTGTTCACCACCCGCCTCACGTCTGGATGGTCAGCAATGGCCAGACTGGAGCGGACTGTGGATAAAAGGCCAGATCAGACCTTGAAAACTTTGAGGTTGTTTTGTTAGTTCAACAAGCTACTTCAAATTAGATTAGTAAATTGAGCAATGTTAGTCACCCTTACCTATCGGGAGGGCCTACCCAGACAGGGAGCATGGGTCAGATGGTCCAGCCTGGGCTGGTGCAGCCTGGAGCATCATTAAAATCCATACGGGGGGGCACACTTAAGATGAGAAAACAAAGACCAGCTGATGCTACATCTGCTATGCTACTTGGCAACTACCATCAGGGTCGTACTTCAAAGGGGGCTTTCTGTCTGGGAGATTTGTTTAGGACTCCTAGGAGGATCCTGTACATAATCACATTTACAATAATACATGTGGGATAGAATCCTTCCAGGAGCATGGCACTTGAAGTGGCATCAAAAGGATGGTTGAGGACCTCTTAAGTTAGTGGTTAGGCAAAGTCTACAGGTCTCTAAGGCGACCTGTGCTGAGAAGGTACTTAGAGAAGGCTTCAACTATCATGAATTGTATCTGTGGGGTAAAGTCACCACCACCGCATAAGTTTTTAACTGTTATTGGGACTCTACAGCACTGAGATATACAATAATGACACGGAGATACTCACTTTATAGACAAGACGGTCAGTGTCTAGACACTGCGTGTAGTGTTTGTCAGTGCTGATAACAGAGAGGCTGGCCAGGGTCACCCCAAAGGAGAAGGGATGCTCTGGAGTGCTGATATTGTCTTCGTATCTGCAACATTTATGAATATTTAATTAACAGCCAAAGCACAAGTTCAGTGAGTAAAACTATAAAACTTAACCAAAAAAACTAGCCACTTTAGTAAATAAAAATTATTTCTTGGAGCAGTGTTAATAAAAGGTGGTTATTTCAAATCATAGTTGCATAGTGATTAGTTTTATTGAACATCAGAGGGAAACAAAAGAACACTATATGAATTAAATAATAATAATAATTTCAAAGAAGATATTATGTGAATGGAATTAGTGCATGAAACAATGATGAAACCTGAGATGAATCATCCCAGGATCTTTCTAATGCCTAAAATTAATTGAGAGCTATTAAAAATTTTCATCATCCTATATCATGACGTGACCATGATACCATGACAGGACCATGATACCATGACACAACCATGATACCATGACACGACCATGATACCATGACACGACCATGATACCATGACAGGACCATGATACCATGACACGACCATGATACCATGACACGACCATGATACCATGACACGACCATGATACCATGACACGACCATGATACCATGACACAACCATGATACCATGACACGACCATGATATCACGACACGACCATGACACCACATTACTTATAGTACTCACCTGACGTGCACATCAGTGATGGTCACTTGGATGTTCCTGACGACCTGTGCGATGAGCTTCTCCAGGTAACCGTCGTCTGCGGGTGTGGTCGCCTTATTGGCGGCCGCCCCTGCGGCAGCCTTTGCCTGCGCCAATTCTATCTTCTCCAGCATTGCCATTTTGGCCTGCCACATTGCAGTGGCATTTATAAATTTGTTTATCAATAGCATTGATTAAACAGAAAAGTTATTGGTCCTAAGTAATTATTTAAGCAGTTAAATGTCTTTGGGATTATTAAATTTGTAAAGTTATGGAATAAATTTAAATGATACAATTCATCATTTTAAAATAATTAATTTCTTTGTCATGGACATGATTAAGGTTCTATCATTTGCCATCACTGTAATTAATTGTGTTTATGCCAACATAAATCTCCAGATGATCTGACATGCCATACGTACCATAATTGCAGAAAGAAAAGATCTTCCAGTTAGTTACTGGTCCCGTTATTATTTATTTATTGGTACATTAATACATTTTTAACCATACTGAAGCAATAGTAATGAAGAAAATAAGTGAAGTGATACAGATGATAAGATACAGCATAATCACCTGATGCAGAAGCTTCTCTTCCTTGTCTTTGTCGTAGGTGATGGACGTGTTTGGGGCCACTAGCAGCATCACCCCTGATACGTGAGCCTCCCACACCCCGGCAAACAGGTTGTTCCATGGTATCACCAGACGCAGTTTGTCTGCAATGTAGTGGCAACCATTGACAAGACTTGAAACTGACAGCCCAACAGGTACAGATATTACTGTGATATTAAGTATTAACACTGTTCACTGTATCACTACCTGAAAATAAACAGTATCACCAGAGGTGGGCAGTAGCGTGCTACATTTTCAGTACCTAGCGGTAGCGGCAGCGGCGCTACGTACCTACATTTAAGCAATTGTAGTGGTAGCAGTAGCGCCCACTACATATTTAAGTAGCGATACGAGGTTTTGCCGCTACAGCGCTACCGCTACATTTATAGATAAAGCCTTTAGATTTTACTTAATAGTATTAAATATTATTTAAAAACCAGCATGATACAAACATAATATAAATTACAGAATAAACTGTACAAAAGATTTCGGTGTAATGTTGTCAACCTCAGCCTGTTACTAGTGTCAACATGTTAGTTGTTACTTGTTAAGTTGTTCCAGTTACCACACACAGGTATTTTTTCATGTTTCAGTTTGCTTACAGTTACTTTTACAGTTATTTTTATGTTTCATCTTCCCTACATGGTAGTCTACTTTAATCTATCTATCTCAAAAATAATCCACAGACATATACAAATAAAAGACTGATTTTTTTATATGTACCTATATGTGGATCATTTTTGAGATTGGTAGATTAAAGTAGACATCCATGTAGGGAAGGTAAAACATAAAAATAACTGTAACTTTTATTTACTATAACTAACCCGTACTAGTTCAGTTAGGTTAATTGCAATAAAGTTGCATTGATATGTTTTGAAAATGTTTTACTATCATTAAATATTTATGAGTAAATCCCAATAGCAGAACAATAAATATTTAGAGATTTCCAATAATTTTGGCCATTGTAGCGGCTAATGTAGCGGCGCTACATTTTACTGTAGTGGTAGCGCTCGCTACAATCTAGTGGGTGTAGCGGTAGCAGTAGCGCCACTACATTTCAACGTAGCGCTGCCCAGCTCTGAGTATCACCACTATCACAAGTCCATACCCTGGCAAACAGGTTGTTACATAGTATCACCAGATGCAGTTTATCTGCAATGCAGTTGCTAACATTGACAGAATATGAGAGAAGGTACACTAAATACTTGAATATTAGGACTGTAATCACCATCACTACTAATTCACTACACCATCAATTAACAACATCACCACCACTGCCAAACAATTGACGATTTTTTTGTTAAATCCATCCATTTTTTTAAATCCATGGCTGCCAAAAATGTGTCAACAAAACCTTATTTAAAACAATTGTAGAGCTCAGTACTCATTGCAACATTATTAGGACTGTAGTATTCAGGCAGTCTGGTAGCAGAATAAAACACAAACAGCATTATAGGATTATTCGCATTATGGGGAGATCAGCTGGACTGCAGAAGATTTTTATGCAGAGTCAGTATTATTAGTATTGGAATGTAGGTAGCTGCAGGACTTACCAAGAGGTCCATACAGAGACAGGATTATAGGATTAGTATCAAATCATACCTGCAGCACTCACCACTTTGTCCATAAAGAGGCAGGATTGAACGATTAGTATTATAACATAGCTGCAGGATTTACCAGAGTATCCATACATAGGCAGGATTATAGGATTAATATTGAAGTAAGCTGCCAGATGTACAAAGGTACCCATACAGAGGCAGGATTATAGGATTAGTATTAGATCATAGCTGGAGGACTCACCAAGGTGTCCATAAACAGGGCGGATGGGCAGCTGCAGTTCCTCCAAGGCACTCTGCTTGATGTCTAAATTGTTGAGCTCTGCCTTGCCTGCCAATGAATTGAAATTTTGAAAACATGAGGGAAATGTTTGAGAAAACCTATATCACACCAAGTAAACATTTAGAAATGCTAATGCATACATAAAACTGGTACAAAAACTATAGTAAATTAAATATACTAATGGCATGGAGGCACAGAAATTGCATTTAGATAATCTCTACATCAACATCACACAAATTAAGTATGATTCAGATGGCTAATGACACATTTTGCAAAGCAGATCAGATGTGAAAAAACTAAAATTGATCTAACTGTTTCCACAGTAAAAAATAGTTTTGATCCTTTAATTATCAGTGAAGAAAGTTTGAATGAAAAAAAAATTCATTAATGTTTGCCTTCAATGATTTACCATATTATAATATTCAAATAACCAAGAATAAATGGAAAATTCATAATATAACAACTAATTTTTTCTGAAGAGGATTTGAACCATTCATACTAAAATTTACTTAAAAATTTCAGTTGAACAATTGCTTAACCATGACTCACCACTCCATAAGCTTAGCTTCAGGTTGGAGCCATCTAAATTTTCTATATAGGTTCCCAACACCTTGTTGAGGAGATTGCATATCAACTTATCCAACATTTTGGACTGCTTTAATGTTCAACCACAACATAAGTACCAGAATACTCTTACTTGTACTATTTTAATTCTTAAATCTGCTTGATCAGTCTTCATGAAATCTGTAGAAGATAAAAGACAGAAAATCTTCCTTATCTGCTACAGCTAGTGTCAGCAAAAAATATAAAAATTTACAGCCTGGCATGATTCTATTTCTTCTTTTTGATGTAAGTAGAAAACATCAACATGCTGAAGAATCTACTACACTTGTTTGAGTTAGTATTGTTTTTATGTTATATTTTATTCAGAAGGCATTAGGGCTTAGGATCTGAACAAGGGTACAAAGAATCCCTATGTGAGCCACTGGTTTTAGGATCAGATGTAATAAGCTTCAAAAATTTCTACCTATAGTTGAAATCTTTTGGCTCTAAAGTAACATATTTTTAATACTTTTCAGGATCTCATGACTCAATTGGAACTGTACAAACAATTATATATGTAGCATAACGGTACGTGGATTATCTCTACTTTTTCAGCTACAATTAGAGCATTCTTGCCATTTTTGAAACCAGGATATTCCTGCAAGATGAAAAACTTCTCATCTACATGTAATTGTGAACAAAAGTGCATGATAGGGCCACAAGATTTCAGCAAGAAGAAGGAAAAATCCACACCAGTTAGGTAGGACATAATTCATTTAGAAGGAATCTCACAGTTCCAAAAATGGTGGTAATGTTCTAGTCACATACAAGAACATGCCTGCATTACATTCATGATGCCTGCCATGTTATAGTCACAATTTTTTCTGTGACATTCTCAAAGACCTAATTTTATCAAATAAATGGCTTGCAAATGAAAATATTATTAAATTCAATAATAATGGAAGGAATATATAATAGTGCGCTTAGTTAAAGTTAGTGAAATTGGTTAAATTATTATTTTTGTTAAATTTAAATATTCTAAATAAAAACACTTGCTTGAAAATTGTTAAAGTTGGTATATAAATCAGAGTTTTCAGAAAAAAAAAACAGGTAAAATCCTTAAAATTAAAGTTTCCCAGATAATTTTCCAATATTGTAAGCAAAAATGAGTCAGTTGAACTAATTGTTAGTTCCTTATAAAAAAATTGGACAAGAGCCATAGGAATGAATAGAATTTTACCATAATTACAAAAGTTTTTATTACATCCATGGCTTGCTTCTGCCCAATTTTGCAGTTTTGTCAGAGACTCAAAGGGCAGAGAGTCAGAGAATAGTGTTATTGTTTAGAGACTGACAATTTAGACATCTTACAGATTGACTGAAACATGTATCCAGTAAATGGTGGGTTTCCAATTTGGAATATCAAGTGGGCCTAAAATTACAGGTAAAAAGATTCATTTCACTGTTGATTTTTCACAGTTACAGGTACAAACAAGTACTTTTTCTTATTCTTTACCAAATAAAAGAAGATAAGGCTGTAGATACAGGTGAAATTGGCCAGATTAATTGGACAGAATTTTCTTAAATTTGTAAGCAAAAACATTTATTTAACATGTGATTTTTAAAATTGCAGCTGATAATATGCAGTTTTTTCATTTTGATAGAAAAAATTTAATAAATCATAGAAGCCTTTGGAACAGATGAACTTGGACATGTTCACTAGTTGTTTCATCTAATTCACAGGTAGCTTCTGCCTAATTTTCCACTTTGAATTCAATTCACAACCTAAGTACTGTAGAAAATTGGGCAAAAGCTACCAATTAATCAGACAGAAATGTCTGTGAATGATGAATCTGGCTAAATGTAGGAGTTCCTATGACCTTTTAACTATTTCTTCACAGTAAAATAAGAAAAACACCCTAATTTCATCTGCAAATTTCAAGAAATTTTTAAGAATCAATCATTTTGCTAGTAATTTTTAGAAACTTTTGAAAAATATTACATATATTTCAAAGTGGATTCATGGATAGGTTCTGCCAAATTTTCTACTTTTTGTCAAGTTAAGGGGACCGGCTACCTTCCGGAAAAACTTCTACAGTTATTATCCAATCATCATGAAACTTCACATACATATGTAAAATGTAAAAAAAAATAACATTTTGCTTTTATGAATTTTGCGAAAAAATTGATAGAAAACGTGAAATTCATAGAAAACGGCTAAAAACGGTTACTTTAGAAAATCTATCTCCTCCTACAAATATCATCCTACAACATCGAGACACGTATCATTCAATTTGTAAAGAACATACCTGTCGATTCAAACATGGGTTTTTTCATTTTCCCCATAGTTTTTTTTATGCGCGTTTTTCCCATTTTTCTCATTTTTCAACCCCCCCCCCTTCTCCCCAATATAAAAAACGAACCAGACAGAAATTAAAAAAAGTGATGTTCGAATCGATAGGTATGGTCTTTACGAATCGAATGGTATACGTCTCATTGCTGTAGCTTAAAAACTGTAGGAGGAGATAGGTTTGCCGTGAGAGCAGTAGGAGGTTTTCACCACGCCCAAAAAACTGCTGGGCGGCACGTAAAATGACGTAAAAGAATCATAATGTAGCCAACATACCGTAACTAAGCCTTAAACCAAGTCAGGAAGGCATAGAGCGACTGGCTGCACACCTCTCACCTTGCTGTCATGATCGGCACTGGCTGCTGTGGCAGAAGCTGGCTTAATTATAAGTCCCGCCCTCGAATTAAGCCCATAGCAAGTAAAGATGGCCGCCTAGTACCGCCCCCTGTTCCATGTGCGTCATTTTCGTAAAAATTCATGTAGAAAGATGTTTCTAGTACCATTCGAACCATCAGAAAGTAAGCTTCAAGATGAGTATAAGAACGGATAATGCCATAATTGGCCGCTTTACGTCAGATGTTTCTTTTTAGTGTGTCCAGCCTTCGAATTAATCCCATAGACTTTACCGAAGGGCCCTAAAAACTGCCCCCCTTTGGGGAGCTGTCACAAAATAATTTTTCAACGTAGAGGGATGATTCTGGTACCATTTGATTCGTCAGAAAGTAAGCTTTAAGATGAGCACAAAAACCGGAAAACGCCAAAATTAAAAATTTTAGGGTAGCCGGTCCCCTTAATGACTAACATAAAAATATTAATTTGAATACAGTAATTTCAATTCATTTAATTACAAATTAACAATAAATTGCCACAGTGCTCATTGCAATAATAATGAATGCACATGGATCATAGTGGCAAAGATGAGAGTTTTTTAGACTCTCCTTCAAGTTCAATTTTATGTCCTATAAGTAGACTAGCATAGTATCATAGATACAACTTACAAGCATCATCATACATAAGTATTACTTTAACACGTTGACTCCAAAGTGGTACTACATAGTATATTTGAAGTGGTAAGTGCGGTATATTCCGTTGATTCCGAAGTGGTAAACGCTGTATATTCCGACATTGTGGGTAATTTCGACACTTCTCAACTTTTTTCCTTTATATTAAGCTTTGTCTTAGTTCCATGCATTTGTTGATGGTTGAAATAGTGACGTCATACTATTGCGTGCCATACTATTGCCAAAACACTAGGTCTGGGCAATCTGGCAAGAAAATGTGGAGATCAAAAGAGAGACAGCGCGTGTCACCCAATGAGAACATCGAAAAATGTGTCAAAGTTGATAGTTGACCTTGCTCTACCAAAGAGTGATAAACTGTGTAGAAAGAATATTATGGTTTGAGACTTTTAAATAAGTCTGTGTATATATTAGGAATCCTCTAAGTATACTTGTATTTGCTGATTTCAAGTGGTAAATAAATTAATAGATTATTAAGTTAAGAGATGGTTTTAGACACATTAAAACTAATTTTGATACAGCTTGGAATTAGACACACACAGATTGTTCCAAGCTGTGTGCAAAAATTAAAATTTTCTTAATTAAAAGCTTAATAGTAAATAGCTCTTAATTACAAGCCTAATTAAGTAGGTAGTGTTCAATATTCAATAGTGTTCTAATTCCAAGCTGTGTTATATTCCAATTCAAATCACACAGCAATCGGAATTCGAACACAAGGGTGTCGGAATTACGAATCAGTAGAGTTTGAAGCATGGCCGGAATTAGTCTCACAAAATGCCAAATTTAGTCACACACAGTGTTGGAATATAAGGATTTGGTAGGTTTGCATTCTAAAGAGTTTCAAATAAATATGGCAACATTTTGTGATGTTTCAATGTTGCTGGTGTGATGTGTGATGTTTTGAGAGTGACATAAAGTAAACAGAACTAGAGTTGCGCATACGGGGATTTTTTATAGCCATTCATTTTTTGCTACGTCCTTAATGTGTTGGAATATACCGCATTTACCCTATGCACCGTAGGCTACCAGTCTACCACTAAATGTATTTCTTCAGGAATTAGGATGTATGTAATGGTACATAATTCAGGTTGCCTAAAATTGGCCAAATCCAAGAACAAAAAAGGCTGATTACTCAATATATACTAGTTTATTCGTAGGTTCCGCTATAAAAATTCCATTTATTTTTTTTGCATTATTTAAAATTCAACTAGAAAGTACCCCTATCATAAATTTTAGCCAGCCAATGCAATTGAGAAAAACTAAATCACAGAATTTGTCCAGAAAAAAATGACCATCTGGCAGCCCTGTTTAAAGACAGTACAAAAAATGAAATAATAGTACAAGATGAAGCAATCAGAGTCAAAGTGTTAAATCTTGAGTAAATGAGAAAATTAAAAATGAACCGATTCTAAAAAAATCACTGGTTTACCACTATGCACTATGACTATGTAATAAATACTGTCATAGACCATTCATGAAGTTTGCCGAATTGCCGTTTGGCGTTTGGTACCGTTGGTAGTTTGGTACTTGGTCATGTTCCACACTCAGGATGATGTATGTTTTCAGTGAATTTTCCCACGCATTTTCACTTTTTTTAAGCCGTTGCTGTGCACAGTTGGCGCAATGTAATGAAAATTGATTCTCTTTGCGCAAGTGTTCGCGCAATCCCGGCCATCAATTCTACGTCGTTCTGCCTCTCACGAGCAGTTTGTTGAGGAACAGACGTAATACTCACATTACTCAGTACAGTATGCCTTTAATTATCTTTCAATAATATATGATTTTTCTTGATACGGAAATTTGGTGAATGAGAAATCTAGAACTTTATTTTAGAAGAAATTTTCTCCAAAGTCATATGGCAACACTGAACAGGGTAAATGCGGTATATTCCGACATCGTAGGTAATTCCGTCACCTCTCTAGTTTTTCCTTTATATTAAGCTTTGTTTTAGTTCCATGCGTTCGTTGATGGTTGAAATGGTGACGTCATACATTTGCGCGTCGAAATACTGCAAAAACACTAGGTCTTGGCCATCTAGTAGGAAAATATTGAAATCCAAAGAGAGACAATGCATGCCACCTGGTGAGATCATCGAAAAATGTGTCAAATTTGACAGCTGACCTTGCTCTACCAAATAGTGAATAACTGTTTTTATAGGAAGAATATTATGGTTTGAGACTTTTTACCGTACGTTCCGTATCCGACAAGGCAGACAAGCGGAAGAGTCAGAAGTAACCCGGACATGTCTTACATTTTATTATTGTCAGTTCAACTCGCCGCTCGCGTAGTCAATATACTCGCGTATATTGTCGACTAAAATAGTAAAACTATTTTAGCTTTCTAAAGTACGGCGCATTTTTTTACCAGCATAGTACAGCGCACCGCACAGATCGTTAAAATGACAAAATAAATTCCCGCGCACCTGGCACTGTGAGTGGCACATCTTCCTGACCAGTGACCATGGGTCATGTTCTATTTTAATAAGCAGGCAGCTTAATTTGCAAATCGCGAGTCTCCCGCAACGCGGCAGCGGAGTCTCCATCTCTGACCATAACACACACAACACTTGCGGCAGTTGCGGGCCGCGGCCCGACGGGTTATGGCTGAAATCGCAGCTTATCACTCAATATCAGCAAAGCAAGACAGCAACAACGTACGGACCAACCCCTTGAACTGTGCCATCGTTCAACTACGACACTGAAACTCAACTAAAAAAGCTTATTACCAAACATACGAGACAAAATAACAAGGAAAGCTAGAGTTCGGCCCTTGAGTTTGGATAAACAAATACACGCATCATGAGTCACATCCTCACATGACTTTAACATCTGAAAAAAAAACCGTTAGTGACCATATCTTCGTCTTCTTCGGATCCGTTTTTATGAGGACTCGGTTGTTCACCACCCGCCTCACGTCTGGATGGTCAGCAATGGCCAGACTGGAGCGGCCTGTGGATAAAAGGCCAGATTAGACTTTGAAAACTTTGGGGTTGTTTTGTTAGTTCAACAAGCTACTTCAAATTAGATTAGTAAATCGAGCAATGTTAGTCACCCTTACCTATCGGGAGGGCCTACCCAGACAGGGAGCNGTCCCAGGTAGGCTTGGTAATGGCCATTCTGCATAATCTGAATCTCTATTTGGGGAGACATATTCATCCACCCCAGCTAGGGATCCCAAAGAGTTCTCACCACTAGACTCAGACTCCTCTATCACTTTCCTGTTACTTGACACGATTCTTGCCACACTATCACTATGGCTATGGGTCTGCTTTAAGGTACTCCCACCTACTGTTGCCAGTTGTGTCTCGGACACCATTGATGAATTTAATAGGGAGAGTCTATCTCTGTCCTCTCCCACTTCCATCCCTGAAACTGAAATGACTTCATCATACGATGCTAACAATGGCGCAGGCGATCCACTTAAACCTGGAGAATTAGGATCCATTCTCTATTTAGATCTTTTACCTACCAAATAATGGGGAAAGTTCAAATTTCTAATCGATTATTTAACTACAGAAGCGAAAATTTTATTTCAGTTTTTACTCACGGTAGATCAGCTTAGGACACGTCCTTACCCAACCGTCGCTCGAAAAAAGTCTTAGTGACCATATGTCACGTGACGTAAATAAATTTTCCGGTTCCGCTGTTTGCCAGCCGGTGCACCACCCACATTGAGACTCGTCCAAAAAAGTTGATAGAGGACAGTATGCTTTTCTTATTAACATTGCAGCAATTACGTTATGATCAAGCAGAAAATTGAAGTTAAACAAAATATATAACTAGCTCACAGTTTTTTTCGCATTCCTTAACCTTTCGCGGGTGGAGTAATTCATGAAAAATATCATTTACATATAACTAATTTTTCAAATATATTGAGAAACTACACGTATTTCAAAATGAATTATATTGTTCACAAAGAACTCAAAATCGCAACCTCGTTCGTTTCGAATACATCTTATTTCTAGTTATATCTAGGCCTATCCTAAATGCACTTTGTATTGACGTCTCGGACAAATTTACGGCCGTACTCAACTCTACAATTTGTCCGAGACGATTTAAATTGTCATTCGAGATAATTGTGGCTACTTAGGAATAACAGCATTGAGCTTCCAGTGACGTGGCAGTCCATCGCTGTAGTCGACATAACCAATGAAATCTAGTATGCCAGCTGCATTCACGTAATGATTAAGAAGGCCCTATTTTCGAATCCGTTCTGTATGCTAATTGTTGAAAAAGCTCTAAGTCCAATTCGGAGAGAAGTGTCCTGTTTAAAAAAGTTAAAGAGTTCGTAAGTTCATCAGACAATCATTGACGGCCTTTCAAGCAAAATCGACCAATCATAGACAAAAAATTAGAGTGTAAGTACTTACGATCACTTAGCGAGTTCTGAAAGTATGGCCCCTGATAAAACAGTGTCAGGATTCATACGTGACTAGTGCGTGCGCACCCACGAGGGCACGTTAGTCATTTTTGAACATGAAGCTATTACTAACCGATTCGAAACTTCAGCAAACTCGCCTGCGAGCTCGAATTCAAAGTTATTGATGTAAAAATCTGAAAAAATTCCGTCCGCAAATTACTGATATTATCTACTTATATTTCAAATTTGAATAAAATCCGTTCATAATTGACGGATTTATGAGTGCCAGAGTTGAAAATGAAGTTAGGTTTGCATTCGAGCTCGCAGGCGAGTTCGCTGAAGTGTCGATTCGGTCTATTACTAGCTGGTGAAACAACAGACGAAAGGCTGCTGACTTACAGGAAGATTATTATTAAGAAACAATATTTTTTAGACCGTTGCTTCCGCTGCCTATCTTCCTACTTTTAACGTACGGTTACCTATCAACTGGACGTCGATAATCCCGTAGATATATGAAGAATTTTCTTGAACTTAAGCGAGCATCCAGACATTCAAATTAGGTTTCGATTTCAGACTGCATCTGTTGCAAAACCAGGAACTTTTTTTCTTTGTGCCGTACATTTAAAAAATCAGTTTCCGTATTTGGTCAAATACTTACAACTTGGATTCAGGTAATGCTAGCGCCGCTGCAATTCAGTTCTTATTCCTCAACCCAGTTTACCAGGAGTTTACTATACTAGTAGTTTTAAATTATATTAAATGTGACTGCACCTGCAGCTTGAAAAGTTTTTAAGCAGTACTTCAAATTATTGACAGAACAGAATGATTTAATACGGTAAAATTCCCGCTTCTGAAAAGTTGACAATAGTAAAAAAATATAACTCAGTACTCACAGCAGTGAGTGACAGAGAGCGCATTTTCTCGTCGACGAAAACTTGAGGTCACGCACTGACGGACAGACGGATGGACAGACAGACGGACATGGCGAGCACAACAGTGCATTTTTTCCATAAATGAGAAAATGCGCTAAAAAGTAAGAATTTACCGTCTTAGACAAAAGCTGATACAAAATAAAGGACGAATGAAACAGCATGTCTGGAAATCAGTTTATTGTAAGCCCCGTATCAAAAGTATTTCAATATTTCACCACAAAGAATCGATATTAAATATCATTATCACCTATTCTTTAATTACTACCGCACAAATACTACTCATCTTAAACTCTGAAATCGAAGTAAAAGTAATCAAGTAAATTACGGAAGATAACTTGTCATTTCATCAATAATATAATGGCGCAAAACCAGCCCAATACACCAGTAATTCTTTCTGGGAGAAGAAGATGATGCATCTAGAGGAAGAAGATGATACATCGAGAAGTAGATGATGCATCTATAGAGGAAGAAGATGATGCATCTAGAGGGAGAAGATGATGCATCTAGAGGAAGAGAAGTAGATGATACATCGAGAAGTAGATGATGCATCTAGAGGAAGATGATGATGAATCTAGAGGATGATGATGATGCATCCAAAGGAAGAAGATGATGCATCTAGAGGAAGAAGATGATGCACCTAGAGGAAGAAGATGATGCATCTAGAGAAAGAAGATGATGCATCTAGAGGAAGAAGATGATGCATCTAGAGAAAGAAGATGATGCATCTAGAGGAAGAAGATGATGCATCTAGAGGAAGAAGATGATGCATTTATGATGCATCTAGAGGAAGATGATGATGCATCTATAGGAAGAAGATAATGCATCTAGAGAAAGGAGATGATGCATCAAGAGAAAGAAGATGATGCATCTAGAGGAAGAAGATGATGCATCTAGAGAAAGAAGATGATGCATCTAGAGGAAGAAGATGATGCATCTAGAGGAAGAAGATGATGCATTTATGATGCATCTAGAGGAAGAAGATGATGCATTTATGATGCATCTAGATGAAGAAGATGACGCATCTAATAGCCATGAATGCATTAAGAATCTGCCCAATAATGAAGCTGATGCCCCTGAACGGCATCACGCTGTTCAGGTAGAAGAACGTGTGCAAGACCCGGGCGGCGGTGAAGCCGTAGAAGCAGACCTTTGCTGTGAACGCCGCTGGTTCTGTGGAGAACCACCACAATCCGTTATTATGTTGTGTAATGACTTATAATTTATTTTAACAATTACTTTAAAGAAAAAAATATAAATAAAAAAGTAGCAAAAAGTCAAAATTAGCATAGAAATTAACTGTCAGATAATTATTTCAGGAAAATACATCATGAATTAAAGAATTCAAAACAGGATTGTTATGTGATAAAAAATTTACAGTAACCATCATGAATTGAACTATGATGAGGACGCATTCCGAGGAGTCACATTCTCCCTCATATTCCGAGGCGTTTCATATTTATCTCTCACTCATAATGCTCATTACATAACATAACATAGCGATGTCGGCGCTGAAGAATAGGCCTGAAGTGCCTGTCGCCGATTCTTACTTTTCGTGACTTGTTTTCAGAAGATTCAATAGCATGTCATTTGACCGGATCTTTTCATGATAGTTTGAAATAGCTACTAGACTTCCACCAGGTTCAATATGGTGCTAGACATTTCAAGTCTGAACATATATGTATTCTTCCATATATGTATTCTTCCTGGATCTTGTCTGTTCTTAAACACGTATATACTCGGAGCGTCAATGATGTAATCCATGAGGCTGTTCCATGTGTCGGTGATTCGAAGCGAGAAGAAATGTTGTCGCGTGGATAAGTTGCAACGCAGTTTTTTAGTTTATTGTCGTGGCCCCTGGTGTTGGTTCTTGTTTCAAATTCTAGTAATCCTTCTGGGACCTTACATAAATCACGAGTATACTTGTATACTTCAATGAGGTCACCACGCATACGTCGATAACAGAGGCTTGGAAGCTTGATAATCATTAATCTGTCTTCAAAAGACTTGCCCTTCAAGCCTGGAATTATATTGGTTGCACGTCTATTAACTCTATACTAAATTTTTGTCCTTTTCAAATTTCGGCAACCACATGACGTTTCCAAACTCTAGATTCAGGCGCACGACAGCAACAAACAACTGCTTCATCGCTTCTGCATCAAGAAACTCGTAGGAGCGTCTGATGAGTCCAAGATCATTTTTGGATTTATTATAGCTTGCGTTTCAATATGCCTAGAAAATATGCCATGACACACCTGTGAGTACGAATATGAGTGAGATGATCCAATAGGCAGGGATGTTCTCGAGGTCGTTCAGGTGAGCTCTGTTGAACAAAAATGCAAACAATAAATCTTACTTCTATCTTATAATCAATAGAAATATATTGTTGCATCTTTGAAAAATAGAACAAATAATATTTTTATTGCAAATGTTTACAGTATTGTGAGTGAAAGTTTTGATCAAGTTCAGGGTGGCCGAGTGGTTGAGTTTGCTAAGATTGGAGCAGCGAGATGAGGGTTCGATACCCGCAGCTGGCTGTGAAAATTCTGGTCTAAATCGGCAAGGTAGCCGATCTTTTAATTGGTTAGAGCTTCTCTTCCAGCACCTTTAATTACCTGGATAAATTTCTATAAACTGAAAATGGCCATTAGATTGTTTAAAAATGACGGGCCCTTTTTTATCATATAATCCTAATAAAAATAGAGCATGTATATTCGTGAGCATGTGAGCATAATAGAGAATCAATATTCGTGAGCATGTGAGCATAATAGAGAAATAGTATTCGTGAGCATGTGAGCGTAATAGAGCATTAATATTCGTGAGCATGTGAGCATAATAGAGAATTAATATTCGTGAGCATGTGAGCATAATAGAGCATGTTAATTTTATTCGTGTGCTGTCAGTAACGAATCTGAATAAGTAACGGTTTGTACAAAAGCGAACGCCGCTGTAGCGGCACTGAGATGAGAGAGGAGCTAGCCTTTGGATCGAGGTTTCGAGCCTCTGAAAAGTGAAGACCGTGAAACTCTGTTCATTTTAGGTGTCACTTGTGGGGCGGTGCATCAGCATTGCCTATAGACGTCGAAGGCGGTGCATCAGCATTGCCGATAGACGTCGAAGGCGGTACATCAGCATTGCCATTAGCCATGCCCATAATGGACCCCATGTACGTGTCGGTACTAGAAGGGAGGGGGGGAATCTTAAAATATCAGGATCGGAGCCTCACCGTCTGACGCGCTCGACGTCTTCGTCGGTCTTCACTTTGCCGTTGGCGATGCGTGCGTCTTCGGCGTTGGCGAAGACCTGCGGTTTATTACGAAATTAAAAACAGCTTTGGAGGTGATTTAGAAATAATTCTTCTAGAGGAGGGTATTTTATAGTGATGGTGCTGTAAGATAATTGAACGAAACTATTGAGTGAAATAAATTGTGAATATTGTAAGCACGATTTTACAACATATAACAGGGCTACAAGAAAAAAAGCTGTTGCATCTATACACGAACCCTGGCATTTCCATAGGAAAGTGACACCGCAATTTCACGAAACCAAACGTAATCTTTTGAATTTCATTTATTTTTACAGATACTGAGAAGTATAATGCATAATTGGGTGAAATGAAAAATCTGTTTGACATCGGAAACGAAACTATATATTGATAACTTTGATCGATAATGAAAATAGTAGTTGATTTTTATAACCAAGATTAGAATACGAGATAGGAAGTCGCAATTCTGTCCATATTTGCCGCCATGCGATCGGAGAAAAACGCAAAATCCATTGCATTAGGAAGTTCACAAAAAATTTTCGTGCGAGGTCGAATATCTGAAACGACCGTGACGTCCATCCTAGCAACACTTTGCAGATGTGATAAATTTTCTATGGAAAATAACGACAACAACAGGAGGATTTGCAAGGTAAAATGAATAAAGAAAAGAAGGAAACAGAAATATTATGCATATTCAATCGAAACAACTAAGGCGAAAACTAAAGATATCGCAAATGATAATGGAAAAATAACAGCCGTTTGTTGCCCATTAATATGAGTAAGCAAAAACAATAACGGCAGATTTTTGAAATTATAAATGCACTGACAAATGGAGCAATTTCTAGACAATTTTTACGTTTTAAGAAAAATGTTTTTAGAGCAAAGAAATCGCTGATATAACTCGTCGTATTTTGTGTGCAAATAACATTGGCAGTGACTATAAACAAGCAAAATTTTCATTAAATAGGGGTTAACTCTAGGACATTTTCCTCACTATAAAATTTCTAGGGAATAAATATCCTGCCATAAATCTAATTTTGAAATAACGTTGATTGAACGTTGTTTTAACGAAATCAAGTCATAATTAACGTTGTCTCAACGTTAATTAGAGCGGTTGAACTAAAAAAACAAGTTTCAACGAAATCAGCTCGCAATCAAAGCTTTTTCAACGAAATATACAAACTAAACAAGTTTTTTAACGTAATTTGAGCAACTCGAACCAACCTTCTTGGCAATGCGGTGACGGGCCGTGAAGAGCGCCATGAGTAGCAGCTTCACCGCCAGGATGGATGAGCTTAGCGCCCACGTCCGGAACACAGGGTTACTGAGCGTCCACTGGCTGTCCATACTGGCAGGAGGGCAGTTAATGTTGAAATAAAGATGGAACAATGTTGGAATAAGGTTGAAATAAAGTTGAAATAAGATTGAAATAAAGTTGAAATAAGGTTGAAATAAGGTTGAGATAAGGTTGAAATAAGGTTGGGATAAAGTTGAAATAAGATTGAAATAAAGTTGGGATAAGGTTGAAATAAGGTTGGGATAAAGTTGAAATAAGGATGAAATAAGGTTGGGATAAGGTTGAAATAAGGTTGAAATAAGGTTGGGATAAGGTTGAAGTAAGGTTGAAATAAAGCTGAAATAAGGTTGAAATAAAGTTGAAATAAGGTTGAAATAAGGTTGAAATAAGGTTGAAAAAAGGTTGGGATAAGGTTGAAATAAGGTTGAAATAAGGTTGGGATAAGGTTAAATGTTGGGATAAGGTTGAAATAAGGTTGGGATAAAGTTGAAATCAGGTTTAAATAAGGTTGAAATGAGGTTGAAATGAGGTTGAAATAAGGTTGAAGTAAGGTTGAAATAAGGTTGAAATAAAGTTGAAATAAGGTTAAAATGAGGTTAGGATAAGGTTGAAATGATGTTGAAATAAGGTTGGGATAAGGTTAAATAAGGTTGGAATGAGGTTGAAATAAGGTTGAAATAAGGTTGAAATAAGGTTGAAATAAGGGTGGGATAAAGTTGAAATAAGGTTGGGTTAAGGTTGAAATAAGGTTGGGATAAGGTTGAAATAAGGTTGGGATAAAGTTGAAATAAGGTTGAAATAAGGTTGGGATAATGTTGGAATAAAATTTAAATAAGGTTGAAATAAGGTTGAACGAAAATTTAAATAAGGTTGGAATAAGGTTGAAATAAAGTTGAAATAAGATTGGGATAATGTTGATATAAGGTTGGGATAAGGTTGGAATAAGGTTGGGATAAGGTTGGAATAAGGTTGGAATAAGGTTGGAATAAGGTTGGAATAAGGTTGGAATAAGGTTGGAATAAGGTTGGAATAAGGTTGGAATAAGGTTGAAATAAGGTTGAAAAAAGATTGAAATAAAGTTGAAATAAGGTTGATGTAAGGTAGAAATAAGGTTGATATAAGGTTGAAATAAAGATGTAATAAGATTGCAATAAAGTTGAAATAAATTTGAAATAACATTGTTTCAACAATTGACTTTTCTTCAACGTTGTTTCACCGTCATATGTCAGGAGGCGAGTCACGGTAAATCATAACATGCATAATGCGAACAACACTTAGAACATAAAAAGAAGAATAATTTTCTGGGATTGGGAATAATGAAAGCTAATTCGGATGAAAGATTTAAATATGGGTTTTCGATTAAAAAAAACGCCCACTGAATTTATATATTATACGCAGCCTAGGAAAACGGTATTCAATTTACCGCATATTCAAGAAATGAATGTTTAATATTGTTCAAATACTGACACACTTGTTTGCCAACAGTACATGCAGGGAACGGACTGCCTTCAAGCCCCTTTACCGGGACAACTTGGGTCAAAATGACCCATGCAAGGGCAAAAAAGTTCATCGCAATTAGGAAAGAGTCTCACTCGTTTCTCTGTTTTCAATGATTAAATAGTTAGGCCTCCTACAGATATACGAGTGATACTGATGATACTGATGAAACTACGAACATCAATAGAAGAGTAATTTCTTTGAATTTTTTAGCGATTTTGTTAGATAAAAAAGTTCACTGAATTGATACTCAGTTAAGAAAAATACCATAAACTTTACCGTGCAGCTACTATTACAAAAATTACTAATACAAATTAATACAACGAAAAGTTGTGAAAACGTTAGGCATTCGGGCGCTAACAACTGTACACTCAGAGTAGTGAGCAAGACTTTGTCCAAGTAGCGATGTACAGGTCATTCTTTTCCAGGTTGACCCAGCACAATGGCGTATCAGTGCTACGAGCAGAAAGTGTGTCACTAGTGGGGCAGTACAATTCTCTGAATGTACACATTAACATCATGTATGTGCGAAAATGCACGCGAGAAACTAACCTAACTAACCTAGCATTAAATATTCGACGATAAGCTAGAAATAACAGAAATACGATCTTTTTGAGTGCAATATTGATCCATGCACTCAGAAAAATTAATGGGCCATTTCTTCAAATAGGGGCAATAGTTATAGCCAGACTGGGTTCTGATGAACCACCAAAGAGCTAAAGGTGCATCGCTATTTGGACAAATTCTCAGATTTCTCTGAGTCTTCGCTTCCTTCAATCATCGGTGTAAATGGTCTACGTGGGAAACATACACGACGAGTCTTGTAAAACCTTTTAAAAAGTGGTGTATGTGAAAATTATTAATTATTATGAATTCCTAATTCATCAAGTTCATTTAAACAAAAACGTTCAATATACCGGCGTTTTCATTCAACCCGTCGATCCAACACAGCTAATTACCGGCAATCTTATCTCAAGCGATAGTGCTTATCTCATGCAGCTAACTTATTCCTATACTATCAGCAATTTCGTTATCTGCATGAGCAACTTTAACCACAACCGATATTCATCCAACTAAAACCTGAATATGAATATCTCATAACATTTTTCATTATACCGCGTGAATTAAATAATATTTTATGTGGTTCAATTAGAAAATTTATCTTAAAATAATCTTATATTTCTCACTTGGACATGAAAAAAATGCCGTGAAATTTGAATGCCGAAATATTACGTAACAAATTGACTCGTAGACTTCACTACATCTTTGTTTCGTATTGACAAACCCAATTTTCAGGGGAATCTATAATTAATCGGATATGAATTCGACTAATTTGAATATCCAGATAATCTTAAGATTTGAATAATTCCTTGGTAATGAAACTAATTCACTGATAATAACGGGAAAATTTAGCGAGAAAGGATTTAGAAACTAAAAAACTTCAATAGGGCTTTCCTCGCATTAGGGCAACATTAATAATAACACGCATTAGGGCAACAAGTGTTATTATCGATTTTAAAATCACAAACTTTATTAGATCCGTTTAACCATTTTGCATGGTCATTACCCGTATAGTCAACAAAAACCATCCAATACTGGTGAGAACTACGATATGTAGTGTCCGATTATTATATAATAACGACAAAGCTGTTTCCATCTCGCTAGAAAGATGCTGATTCAGTTTTGCTTTAAAATAGATAGTTTCCATTAAAAATTGGCGACTTTATTGACGTTGACGTTATGCGCTGGGTAGAATTCTAGGTAAGGGGGTCCATTTGTTCAAGGTTGATAGAGAAGGTTCGAAATTATTAACCAATTATATTATTAACCTCTGTTCGAAAATTAACCAAGTTAGAAAGGGAAATATTCCATGTTTTTAAATTCAGTTTAATACGTATATTTGTTCATGTATTACTTATTCCTAAGTCCACGGTGTCCACCTGCTAGAAGTTAGCCTACGTCTGAGCGTAAGAGGAGATTGCAGATTAATTTAATTTTTTGTGCATTACAAAAAAAAAGAATTTGTAGAAGCTGTGCCGCAGGGTAGGGGCAGAGTTTCTGCAAACATGAACGTACGATGTTTTAAGTTCAACGTTCACTTCACGGTCGCAGTTACAAAACACAATATTGGTCAAATAGTTCTAAATTATAGTACATTCTGCATTTTAAATGCCCGACACTTCTGACAGATAGGTACATGTTGAAATGGTTGCTTACGGTAAACTGTATATTTCTGATCAGGAATCTGGAGGCTTCTTCCATTAAATTTATTGGGAATCAACAACTTTATTTATTTATTTCATTCAAAACCCGCAGACCCTACAGCTAAGTGCAAGGCCATTGAGTATAAAATAAACAGACAAGAACTGTTGAAGTCATCAGGTACAGACAAATCATTAGCCCGGTTAGGTGGAGGATTTAACCTTGGATTTTAACAACTAGACCTGCTATAACACACCACGCACTTTGTTTGTCACACATATAGATCATTTGTAAATCTACATAAATCAGAATACAACAATATCGCTGCTATACTTACTTAACAATACAGATTTGATGCAAGTATTGAAGATCTACACGTATGCAACCTTTCTACTCGGACGCCAGGCACACACTGGAGTCTGGAGTTTGGACTGGCCCGCAGGGAGTCTGGCAGTAAACATGTACACCAATTACCAACCGCAGCGGTAGGACATGTCCGGCTTGTTGCTGTGGCTTGGCAGAGGTTCTTGATGAATCAAAATTGTGACCTTGAATTGGATACTGCTACCAGGTAACATCAACATAAAAAAGTAACAAAAACGTAAGTGAAATGCTCATTGATGTATGTACAAATTGTATTTACATTATATGCATATCATATAAACGACCGAAACTCTAGCTAATTTTTAGATCCAAATGCGTTGATGTATTCAGCGTATTTTTGGCTTAAAAATGCTAGATCTATCTTGGAAGTCATTGAAAGAGTTGGCAACACTTCTCCCGAGTACCACGATAATTACCTAACTGCTCCTAATGATAAATGTGTTGTACTTCTTGTGAAGTGGTACCGCCCCCAGTACCGCCATGATAATTCTTTCCTACTTCTAGTTAGTTTAGTTGCCTCATGTTTACTAGCGCTCCAGCTATTTAGCTATCACGCTCCGGTAGTCAAGATGAACATCACCAACGAGGTGGAGGGTCTCAATTATTGAAAGTTTCTTGAATAAAATAATCGATCATCGCCCACATGAGGTGGAAGGTCTCAGATGTCCATCCCGCTGAAGCTGGCGCGAAAGAAGCAGCGATATCATCTAAAAGAGACGAAGTGACAAGGAGGGACAGGGAACAAGGAGGGACAGGTGACAAGGAGGGACAGGTGACAAGGAGGGACAGGTAACAAGGAGGGACAGGTCACGAGGAGGGACAGGTGACAAGGAGGGACATGTGAAAAGCAACAGAAACGAAGACACTCGAACAAGAGGTCGCTTACACGAGACGTCGGCCGCCCGCACGAGAGAGACAGAGAAGGGAAATGAAAGGAATCCTACCTACATAATAACGTAAGGTATCCTACCTACATAATATCTTAATGTAAGAATACAACTGAGACCTGCAGTCAGACACCGCGAGCTCAGCGGTGGGGCGCTCAGGAACAATCCCCCTAGGAGCGCGAAAGCCCATATGACTTCTGACGAGCACGACACGCGTCAGAAGTCCCCCTGAAGGATTTATTACTCTTAATGATGGATGAAAAATACTTGCAATGAAACGGTACAACTTTCGGGTGAAATGAACATTTTCTGATTATTAATGCACGTACCTAAAAGAAGTTGGATTTAATAATCCTGTATTTGATAATCGCCCAATCCTGTATTTGATAATCGAAAGTCTCCAATTATCACAATCATCCAAGTTACACCAAAGGCTACTCTTGACTTATACCAAGTAGAAGCAAATGATGTTTTTCCGAACGCGAATAAGAAATGTATAAACATTATATATTTTTCGATGTAGTTTGCATTTCTACGTTCAAATTTCTTTATGAAATTTTCATACAATTTGTAAAATAAGTAAATTCGCCCAATTTAACAAAAGATTTTTTAGAACATTCACAAACATAGCTTAAAAGCATTATTAATTTCATTTCACATTAAACTTACATGAAACGAGAACATTGATCATTCCCAAAATACATTCAAGTCCTGCATAACAACATTGAGCATTCCTTTCATAATATCACAATCACTTTGAATTCTAAAACATAAACTGGAGGAAATAACTAGCCAAAGCTCGAACCTATTATTCTGAAAAATAAATGCAGCACATTGATCAAAAATAGTGAAACTTTTAAATTACACAACGAGTGACTGCACCTGGTGTAAGCTTGACAAGTTTATAAGCGGTAATTATTTTACAATTATTGGCAGTACAAAAGGATTTAATACGGTAAATGTCCACTTTTGAAAAGTTGACATTAGTAAAAAAAGTATAGATTTAACGTCGTTAGACAAAAGCTGATACAAAATAAAGGACGAATAAAACAACATGTCTGGAAATCAGTTTATTGTAAGCACCGTATCAAAACTATTTCAATATTACACCACAAAGAATCGATATTAGATATAATTATTACCAATTTTTCAATACCGCCCAAATAATAATAATTTTAAACTCAGAAATCGAAGTAAAAGTAATCAAGTAAATTACGGAAGATGATTTGTCGTTTCATCGAAAATACAATGGCGCAAAAGAAGCCGAATACACCAATGATTCTTTCTAGGGGAAGATGATGCATCTAGAAAAAGATGATGCATCTAGAAGATGATGATACATCGAGAAGTAGATGATGCATCTAGAGGAAGAAGATGCATCTAGGAAAAATTGATACATCGAGAAAAAGTAAATGATGCATCTACAAGAAGATGATGGTGCATCTATGATCCATCTAGAGGAAGAAGATGATGCATCTGAAAGCCATGTATGCATTGAAAATCTGCCCAAGAAGAAAACTGATGAACCTGTACGGCATCAAGCTGTTCAGGTAGAAGAACGTGTGCAAGACGCGGGCGGCGGTGAAGCCGTAGAAGCAGACTTTTGCTGTGAACGCCGTTGGTTCTGTGGAGGAGAACCACCAACATCCATTATCATGTTGTTAAATGATTGATATTTTATTTGATAATTATCTCAAATAAAAAAAGTAAAAAACACTGCCAAAAGATCAAAATTAGCATAGAAATTAGCTGGCAGTTAATTAATTCAGAAAATGCATCATGAATTAAGGACTGCAAAACAGGCCTATGTGATCCTAAATTTAGAGAATGAGATGATGAATTCAACTATGATGAGGACACATTCCGAGGCGTCTCATATTTGTCTCTTTTTCATATTGCTCATGACACACCTGTGAGTACGAATATGAGCGAGATGACCCAATAGGCAGGGATGTTCTCGATGTCGTTCAGGTGAGCTCTGGTAAACAAACACGCAAACAATCAATTTTACCTTATATCTTATAATCAATATGAAAAGATTTGTTGCATCTTTGACCAATATAACAATTGATATTTTTACAGCAACTATTCACAATATTGTGAGTGAAAGTTTTGATTAAGTCTAGGGTGGCCGAGTGGTTGCGTTCACTAATATTGGAGCAGCTAGATGAGGTTTCGATTCCCGCAGTTGGCTGTGAGAATTCTGGTCTAAATCGGCAAAGTAGCCGATTATTTTGGTTAGAGCTTCTCTAGCAGCACCTTCAATTACCTGGGCAAATTACTATGAACTGAAAATTGCCATTTGATTGTTTAATAATTACAGGATCTAATTTAATCCTAATATATTGAGTTTGGTAATTTAATTCGTGTCCTGTCAGTAACGAATCTGAATAAGTAAAAGTTTGAAAAAAGCGAGCGCCATTGTAGCGGCACTGAGATGAGGGAGGAGCTAGCCGTTGGTTCGAGCCTGTAAAACTGTTCATTTTTTGGTGCCACTGGTGGTCAGAATTTGATATACGTCGAAGGCGACGTATCAGCATGGCTATGGGCCATGCCCAGAACGGACTTCATGTACATGTTACTAGGAAGAGGGTGAAATTAAAAAAATCTAAGTAGGAGCCTCACCGTCTGACACGCTCGACGTCCTCGTCGGTCTTCACTTTGACGTTCGCGATGCGTGCGTCTTCGGGGTTGGCGAAAATCTGCAGTTCAATACGAAATTACTAGCAGTTTTGGAGGTGATCAAAATATAATTCTTCTAGAGGAGTATATTTCATAGTGATAGTGATGTAAGGGCATTAAACGAATCTACTGAGTGAAATAAATTGTGAATATTGCAAGCACGATTTTACAAATAACAGGTCTGCAAGAAGAAAGCTGTCTCATCAATCACGTGCCCTGGCACTTCCAAAGGGAAGTAACACCGCTATTTCACGAAACCAATCGTAATCTTTTGAACTTTATTAGTTCTTACGGATATTAACAAGTAAAATGCAAAATTGGGTGAAATGAAGAGAGTCATTTTAACGTCGGTAACAAAAGAAAAGTATATATATATATATATATTAGTATAGGTTGGCAGAATTTCTTCTTTCAAGCAGGTTTCATTGAAGACCAGAGAATTTGTTTTATTCGCAATTTTCTTATTAGTTTTTTCAATATATCGAACAATATTTTTAGTGTGAACTGGCAAATCGAAAATCAGGTTACCGATGGACATTTTTATTTCGTTAACGACGTTTCGAATGTTTCTATCATTCATTATCAAGTTAAAAGGCACATTGAGTGATGAAATTAGCGTCGACATAAGTACAAAATCAAGTAAAAAAAACAAAATTGAAATCAATCCCAACTTAAAAGATCAACTAAGAGCGGAAGCAACGAAACAACGAGGAACATCTAAGTCTTCAATCCTCACACCAGCTCTACGCCAGGCTGCAAAAGATCTCAGAGATAACGACCAAATTGTGATCCGTAAAGCCGACAAGAGTAATTTGTTTGTTATTTGGACAAAACTGAATATCTATCAAAAATCAGCGACATTCTTTCCGATGACACCAAATTCTGCCGCATCGCACGAGACCCAACGGAACAACTGCAAAGGAAAGCTAACAAACTGATCAGCACTGCCAACTCCGTTGTAGGGCCTAGAAAACTTACGCCTATCGTCGGAAGTTACTCTCCCGGGTATCTCTACGGAAACGTTAAAAACCACAAGCAAGGCAATCCGCTCAGACCCATCATCTCTCAAGTCACGTCTCCAATCTACAAAACAGCCAAAGAACTGGATACAATAATAAAACCGTATATTCCGAAGCAATTCACCTTAAAATCTAGAGATGATTTTTTGGAGATCCTCCGTGCTGCACGCCCATCTGGCCTTCTCGCGTCACTTGATGTCACCAGCCTCTTCACCAACGTCCCTACTGAAGAAACGTTAGAAATCATTGCCAAGCACGTATATTCTCATCCAACTCTGCCGGCTCCACCAATACCTAAGAAAATTCTCATCGATTGTTTTTTGGCTAGGTAAAACTAATGTAAGATTGTTTTAAACACTAATGATACACACAGGAAAAGGCCACAATTGGGGGATTGCTGTGTGTCGTAGGAAATGTGTGGCAAGAAGAAGAAGAGAGAAAAAGAA